TAGTCACCGAGAGTGCGGACGATGTCGGTGTTGCAAGCAAAGCCGTGCGACGCCGCGACTGCAATCTCGAGCATCTTGACGACGTCTTGAAGTGTCTCCATGCACTGATAAGCACTGATGACGGTAAAGAATTGTTCCTTTGTCGCCACCTTCTTCATGAGCTCGGTGTTCTTGAGAAGCACGACCTGCACGCCCGTCTCAAAGCAGTCGTAGGATGTGATCGCAAGCGTCGGGTTGACGATCGGTGACGCGTCGTTGTCGGCGAGTTCACTCGGTGCGGTCGTGGTGACGACTGGTTCTTCGGTATTATTGGTAGAGGCTCCGTCACTGGTTGGCGCCTGCGCCAGGCAGTTGGGCGTGGCCGCCTCGGTCGGCTTGTTGATCGGTGGCGCGTCGTTGTCGGCGAGTTCACTCGGTGCGGTCGTGGTGACGGCTGGTTCTTCGGTATTATTGGTAGAGGCTCCGTCACTGGTTGGCGCCTGCGCCAGGCAGTTGGGCGTGGCCGCCTCGGTCGGCTTGTCGTTAGGCATCGTGTTTGTGACTGTGGACATTTTTGCTGGTGTCAGTGAGCGAGGGTAAATTGGAAAATGAATGAGATGCCGTTTATTGCAAAAACGAAGTTCAACGTTTATGCGACTACGACTGTAGTTTTCGCTCTGCGTATCTATATATATGTATCAACAGTTGATAAACGGCTGTGTACCTGTACACCATTCTCGCGATCGGAAGAGGATTGCATGCTCATATGTGTAATCTTGAGCCTTTTGACACCAGGTAAAAAATACATTTCAGTTGTATGGAGAGTGTAGTAAATTCTTGGTCATTTTTTGATCCCTATAGAAACATAGAGCTCCTGCTGGCTGCAGCTCTGTTAGCATCGAACGCCGATATATAATATCGGCTTCCGATGCTGCGGTTTTATCAACTCTGGCATTGCACTTCATCCGGTCCTACTGGTTTCTATCAAAGCAACAACGATGTATCAATATCGAGTTGGATACTTGTTTGTCAAATGGCGCACGTGTGAGTGAAGTTAAGAGCTCAGAAATCCGAGTAACTCGTTAATGGTTGTCGCACAAGAGTTGAACTTTTCTTTTAGATTAAACAGCATTTCGTTCATTTCCAATTTTACCCACGCCCACTCACACCAACCAGAATGTCCACTACGGAAAGCCCCGACGCTCGTGATCGAGTCAACCCGACGCTCGTGATCAAGTCATACGACAGCTATGAGGCGGGCGTACAAATTGCGCTTCACAAGGACACCGAGCTCATGAAGAAGGTGGCGACAATGGAAGAATTCCTCAAGTGCATCAGCGCTCATCAGTACAAGGAGGCGCTCAAACTCGTCAACACGATGCTCAAATCCGCGGTCGCGGCGTCGCACGGCTTTGCGTGCAACACCGACATCGTCCGCACTCTCGGTGACTACCAAACGCTTGTCGTCGACACGGACATTGCCGCCGACGCGTTTCTGCGCGGGTGTATGCAAGTGCTCAAGTCGTACAAGCTTGCATTTGTCTTCCTTCTCAAGGGAAATCTAGTTAAGACCAAGAAGATGCTTCTCTCGACGTGCGAGGTCGCAGGCCGCATGGAGGCAATCGCGGGCAAGCTCGCGGAAAAGGCCGAGAAGGCTATGAAGGGCGCCCAGGCAAGTCTTGAAGAGACGAAGCGCGTCACCAGCAAGGAGAACAAAAAAAAGGAAGACAAGGAGCTGGCGCTTGAGCTGACGAAAAATCTTGAAGCTCGCGCCAAGTGCTGTGAGGCTGATGTCGCAGCCGCCAAGCTCGCAGTGGAAAATGCCGAGAAAGAGCGTCGCAAGCAAGGATTCGTCGATACCACTGACACGACATCTTCGTCGTTCTGGGGCTTCTTTTACACCGTGGTTTCGCGCCAAGGCGCACGCGACATGCGGAAGCATGTCGAGGCAATCGAGAACGAAGCACGGGCCAGCTGCCGCAAAGCTCTCGAGAAACAGCACGAGGTCAACCAAGCTATTATCGACATTGTCCGCATGCTCGCGGACGATCAGCCGTACGGTCGAGCTTTTGCCGCACTCGAGTTGACTGTCAAGGCTCTCGGCACGATCAAGACGACTTTTGAGAATGTGCGCGAATTTTGGTCCAAGCTCAAGACCCGCTACGGTGAAATCGCCGCGGACTCGAACCGTGACTACATCGATGAGGTCGCCGACCCAGATACGATCGCCGAGTGCTACGATCTGATGACAAGCTCCTGGCATGAGTGGCTTGCGCTCACCAAGATCAGCTACGACACCATCCAAGGAATGAAGGACGTCAAGACGGAAGCACATGCCATCATGTCCGATTTGCCCAACTCGGCGGAAGCGAGCGAGCGCCATCAAGATCTCGTCGAGGATCTCGAAAAGGCCCTCAAGGATTACGACGCGCTTATCAAGGAGCAAATCAAGCAGCAGCAGCAGTAATCAATGGAGCTCCTCGTTTGGGTGGGCGTGTAAACGTTCAAATGCCATGACAATCTTTTGCAATGCGTTTGCATCAAGTTCGATTATTTTTGGCATCTTAGGATGAGCAGCGATCGGACGTGGCCACAGCAGCTAGAAATGAGTGAGATGTCATTTATTGGCTGCGAAAGTGTGAGTTTCATAGCGTAGCTTAGAAACTAGATGACCAAGCCATCGTTCGTCCCGCGTATGCCAAGGTCATCACGAGCGATCAAAAGAAGACTGGCAAGGTGTCGGTCAAATCCATCCCGTACGTGACGTGCCCGATTTCACGACCTCTTTCAAAGCTTCGCTCAAACCTCAACAAGTACCCATCAAAGCAGCGACTGAGGCCAAACCCGGCGTTCTCCTTTGTCAAGGGGTCGTCGCTGTCCGCGGCGGAGCATACCACTACGGCCAAGTGACCAACTATGACACTACCTTCGACACACCATGCTTACCGCACGCACCGGTGTGATCAACGCCACGGGCAACAACCCCAACGGCCACGAGCCTCACTCGCTTCACAGCAACGGCGCGACGCCTAAGCTCGCGGCCAGCTACTCGGACACTACGAGCCAACTACCCGGCCGCCTAGAGCGGCGACTCGCTCAAGTGGCAAACATACATACACACTGCTCAACTCAAGAACACGCGCGTGCGATGGTCAAGCCAACGCGACACTACGAGTGGGCGATCGCCCGCCATCCCACTCGGCGGCGGTAATGTCAACGTCACCTATCCCCCTCACGCGCGACGAAGATGTGGTGGAAGGAAAAAGGTCACAATCGCCAGCACGTTCTTGACAAGCTAGTATCAATTTTAAACTTGATACGAAGTGCCGTTCAATGCATTACCTCTAGTAAAAGCTGTCGTATTGTACACGGCAATCTTATGGCATCGAAGTTGATAGGAGTTGCAGCACAGTGCCTTACACGGCAATCTTTCAACTGTTGATATGTGGCCATGCACCAGAGCATTGGGATTTTTATCAACTCTTTCGTTGCACTTCATCAACTTCAGCTGGTTTCTATAAAAACAACAATTAATACTATCGTGTTGTTAGATACGCGTTTGTCAAATGTGTGCGCGTGTACCTTACCGGGTGGCCAAGCGCTCAGAAAGTCGAGAAACCAGTTGAATGGTAGAAAGTTAAACTTTTCGTTTCAAGATCACTGACATCAGGTTCATTTTCAATTTCACCCACACTCACTGACACGAGCAACAATGTCCAAGATGGAAAACCCGACGCTCGTGATCGAATCGTACGTCTCGTATGAGTCGGGCGTCCAAGACGCACTTCTCACGAACACGAAGCTGAGGGAGAAGGTTTCCGAGAAGGAACGCTTCCTCACGGACATGGGCGCTCGGCAGTGCATGGAGACGCTCAAATTCGTCGCCAAGATGCTCGAGACCTCGGTCGTTGCGTCGCACGGCTTTTCGTGCCACACCAAGATAGTCAACACTCTCGTTCGCTATGTAACGCTTGTCGTGAACATGGAGATTGCCGCTCACGAGTTCCTCGATGCGTGCTTGCAAGTGCTGAAGTCCTACAAGTGTGCATTTGACACCCTCATCCAGGGGAAACCTGACCACGCCAAGTTGTTGCTCCTCTCGAGCTCCGAGGTCGCGGGCCGCATGGAGGCAATCGCGGACAATCTCGTGAAAACGTCCGAGGAGGCTATGGACGACGCGCGAGCAAGCCTCGATGAGACGACCCAAACCTCCTGCACCATGAGCACGCAGAAGGAGAAGAAGACAACCGAGGGCGAGGAGCTGGCGCTCAAGAAGAAATACCTTGAGGCATATGCAAGGGACTCCGAGGACGATGTCGCGGCCGCCAAGAATGCAGTGAAAGGGGCCGCAGTGAACTGCCGGGTGCAAGCACACGTCGTTGCCACAAACACGAGAACGACGTGGCTGTGGGGTTTCTACACCAGCGAGGCCACGCGCCAAGCCGAGCGCGATATGCACTACCTCGAGGGGGTCGAGAACATATTACGCGCCCGCTGGGTCGAAACTCTCGAGAAACAGCACGAGGTCAACCGGGGTATTGCCGCCATTGTGGCCAAGATCGCGCGCCATCGTGACGAAGGCAAGCCGTACGAGCAGGCTGTCACGGCACTCGAGTTGACGGTCAAGGCACTTGGCAGCATCAAGACGAGTTTCGAAAAAGTACGTGCATTTTGGACCAAGCTCAAGACCCGCTACGACGGAATCGCCACAAACGGTGACACCATCGACATACTCTTCGAAGCAGATGCTGTTGAAGACCCTGCCGAATGCTACGACCTGATGACAGACCACTGGCACGACTGGCTTGCGCTCACCAAGATTAGCTACGAAGCCGTCAACGGTATAGTAGGCGTCACGACAACAGTGCACGGCGTCATGTCCGATTTGCCCAACTCGCGGCAAGCGAGCGAGCGCCTACCAGGTCTCCTCAAGGATCTCCTAGAGACCCTCGAGGAACACGAGGCGCATATCAAGCGTTCAATGAAGGAACAGCAGCACTCAGCAACAATGCCCACGATGACGAACCGAACTCTCACGATTGCATCGTCCAATTGCTACGAGACGGCCGTCCGCGTCGAGCCCTTCAAAGACACTGAGCTCATGGAGAAGGTTGCGGCGAAGGGATCACATCTTGGAAGAATCAGTGGTCGGCAGTGCATGGAGACACTCAAAGAAGTCAACAAGTTGCTCGAGATCGCAGCCACTGTGTCGCACAGCTCTTCGTGTCACGCCAAGATCGTGGCCCTCCTCGGTGACTACCAGACGCTTGTCGTCGAAATCGACACTGCCGCCGACGCGTTTCTTTGCGGCTGTATGCAAGTGCTCAAGTCCTACAAGTTTGCATTTGCCTTCCTTCACAAGGGAAAATATGACAAGACCAAGAAACTACTCGTCTCGACGTGCGCCGTCGCGGGCCGCTTGGGGGCAATTGCGGGCGAGCTCGTGAAAGCGTCCGCGGAGGCTGTGAAAGACGCCCGGGTCAGCGTCGAAGTGACTTTCGCTTGGGCCAACAAAATGAAAGACAAGGCAACGGTGAATGATGTGTCGTACGAGCTGGCTCTCAGAGCACTCGGCTTCACCACCTCTAGATTGGAAGAAATCTGCGAATTTTGGTGGAAGCTCAAGATCCACTTTGACGTCACCACCCAAAACGGTGACACCATCGACATGTTCGTCGACCCAGATATGCTTGAAGACCCATATTTTATCGACGAGCTGACAAGCGTTTGGCACGACTGGCTTGCGCTCACCAAGATCAGCTACGAACTCGTCCAAGGAATGAAGGACGTCAAGACGACAATGCACGACGTCATGTCCGATTTGCCCAGCTGGAAGCAAGCGAAAGAGCGCCTGCCACGTCTCTCCAAGGATTTCGAAAAGCTTCTCGAGGCAAACAATGCCCACCGTCTGACATGAAATCTCAGAGCATCAGACCGCAAACCAACTACTTCGGGCATTACGTTTTCCATCAAGTTATGCATAGCACTTCCAGTATATTAGTACATGCACTGCTATATTTACTCGTTCTGCCTTCCATATATACTATTGCAGTATGTATTAGTCTCAGTTGATCATGCTAGTACGACAGGTTCCGCTGTAAGTGTCCTTTTGCCAACCGGTTTAGCAACGTAGCACAGAGGGGTTGTCGGTGGGCAATTGTCTATGTTAGCGAAACACATTTGGTCGAGCGAACGAGATGCTTACCGTCACGGCACACAGTGTAAAAGAGTATGCTTGGCAAAGCGCACTTTGCTGTTGATGATGGCCGTTCTAGATGGGCGGGGTAGGGGTGCCACATTGCCGTTTGTTAAATTCGGCATCCAACCTCTGAAAATGCATATGGTGGCCCATGGCACAACTGTGAATGGCCGACCTCGTCGATGAACGACCAGCAGCAGCCGCCCGACCTCTCGGGCCTGCTCCTGCGCCTGTACCAGCAGAGCCAAGGGATACACAAGTCGAGCAAGAAGGCCTCGGACGAGCTCCAGTCGCACCTCGCGACGACCGCGCTGCCCGTCGACTGCCATGAAAAGCTCTTTCACCAGATTCTGCACCATGCGACGCTGTCGGGCGACGCCAACGCGGGCCCGACGCGCTGGCTCACGCTCGTGGCCGCGTCCAACCTCCTCTGCACGGCGGGCATGCTCGCCATGTACCCGATGCCCGTGCAGCAGAAGATCCTCCTACGCGTCTTACCAGAGGCGCTCGAGCGCTGGTTCAAGCTCACGGCGACCGACGACCGCCAAGTGCATGGCAATGGCCAACTCCGAGACGGCGTCTTTGTACCGTCGACGATCCTCCAGCACGAGCGACTCTCGCAGCAGAGCGGACAGGCGTTTGCGCTTGCCATGTTCCTCGACGCGATCGTGTCACTGCTCGAGGGTAGCGACGACGAGGCCGCGGTCGTCGAGCTCAGCCGCGTCCTGCAGACGACCGCGATTGCTCACCCGAGTGCGCTGCAGAAAGGCTTTGTCCGGGCTGCAAACGTTCTCCTTGGCTGGACGATGCGCGTCGAGACGGCGCCGGTCCATCGGTGCGTCTCCGTCGTCTTTTGACTTTGCTACATCCAACTCCTTCGATTGAATCTAGGGACCTGCTCGTGGCCGTCCTCTTTGACTGCAAGGAGCTCTGGGCGACCAACACGGTGTTTGCCTCCCAGCTCATTACGTCTCTCGTTCGGGTATTCCTCCTCTATCCATACGTGTCGTCTCAACAGCTCTACATGCTAAGCATCTTCTTGCTAGGACATTGAAGAGCACAGCGGCAGCTTGCACTCGCCGTTGGACCTCGAGCGCTACAACGCCGTGGTCGTGTGCTTTCTCGCGGTCGCGCACGGTGTCGGCGATATCGCTGCCAGCGCACTCGCGCAAGTCGTGCACGCTCTCTTGAGCTTTGGCGGTCACTACCTCCTCTCGTACAAGCGCCTCATGCCTGTATGAATGCTCATGTATAGCGTAGGATCAAGACGGTGCTGCACTGCGCTCGGACCTTTGGGAGCGTCGCCAGTGCCGCTGACTCGTGGGCGCTCGCGGCGGTCGACTGTCTCTTGCTGCACACGTGTGCGCTCAGCGAGCGGCACTTGGCGTCGACCAATCAAGTCGCGTCGGTGCTCGATGCTGTCGACGCGCTCTTGTCACCGCTGCCCGTACAGCCCATTGCAGCGCTGCGTGTGCTCACCCGGCGCATCCCAACCGACCTGCCCATGCCGTATGGCGCCAAGACGACGGCCGTGCCGACGGCAGTGATGACGACGCCGACGCATCCGCTCACGGCGCTGAGTCACCTCGTGCATCTTCCGAGCTTGTTGCCGCGTGCGACGCGCCTCGCGACGGCCATGGCGCGCGTCGGTGGCGTCTCGATCCTCGAGGTTCGCTCTTTCCATCTGTGTCGGTTGAAACATTGAAACATTGATATTCGGAATGTAGGTCTACAGCCTCGACGCCGTCGGGTCGAGTCGGGACGTGACATACGCAATGTTTTGCCTCATGGTGCTCGGTATCGCCGCGGTCCCCGAGAGCATTCCGGACCAGAGCTGCCTCGATGGCATCTGCACGCGTCTCGCCAAGGCCCTTGACAAGTGGCCAACGACCGCGCCTCTGTACATGGGCACAGTCCACGTCTTGCGCCGCCTTCTGCCGCGCTCGTCGCATGCAATGGACAGCGCGCCGTTGCTTGCGACACTTGCGACCCACGTGGCGTCCTACGCGCACGCCCCGGTGTTTCAGCTGTTTCTGTACCTGCTCGAGCACTTGCCGCCTTCGCTGCCGCTGGATGCGACCTTGCAGCGCCCGTTTGATGCGCTGGCACGGCACCGGACGCCAGACGTGCGCGCGTTTGCCCTGCGCTGCCTCGTCGCGTTCGAGTCGCCGACGCTCCTCGACGTCGGCCTCGCGAGCCTCTTTGACCCGGCAGCGATCGTGTCGACGCCGGCGCTAGCGCTCGTCGCGCATGCGGTGCTGCAGCCACGGCCTGCATATGTCTTGCCACGCCTGTACCGTGCCCCAACAACCACGGCGGCGTGTACGCTGACGAGCTTTGCGTCGCTCCTCGCCTTGCTCGAGACAAATGACGAAGAGCTCTGGACCAAACCGCTGCTGACGATTCGCGACCAGCTCTGGGCCGCGGCGACGTGGTGTGTCGAGGCGCGGCTGCGCACGCACTATGGCAACGCCGGCCAGACCTTTGCTGCCCTCGAGCGGCTCCTTGTCCAGCGCAGTGGCGTCGCCGGTCGTCTTCTTGTGGAGTTTGTGCATGCGCTCGAGCTCGCGATCCTGCAAGCGTGCCACGACCCGACGCGCCGCCCCATGGATGCGAAAGCGCAGGCGTTCTATACGACGAACCGCAAGGTGTGCGAAGACTGGCTGCTCCGCATTCGACCGGCGCTTGTGCGTATCTGTGACGCGACAGACGCGACGTCGCTCATGGCCTATCACGCGCTCTCGTTAGTGCGCGGGCGCAAGCCGTCGGCGCCCGCGCTGTACTCGGCAGCCACCGGTCTCTGTGACGTGCTGGACGTTCCGTCCTTGGTCGGGTTTGGCGCGTATGCAAACACGCATGCGCTGCACGTGCCATGGCTGCCCGCGATCGTCCAAGAAGCGCAGCTGCTCTATGAAGACGCAGCGAAAAGCTACGAGCATTTGCTGGCGCCGCTCTTTGCGCTCTCGGAGCGCCATGCGTCCGGAATGCACCTCGCGTTCGAGTCGGAGGCGACCAAGCAAGCGACGCTCCGGTCGCTGCAGACGACGCTCGCCGAGGCCGGCCTCGAACATGTGTCGCTGGCGTCGCTGCTCGTGCGTTGTGCCAAGTGCTACGCCAAGGTGCACGCGTGGCTTCCTGTGAGCGCGCTCATGCGCAACTCGCTGGACTTGAGTCTATTTCTCAGCCACCTCCAAGCCTGCACCGACGAAACACTCAGTGTCGCAACCGACATGACGGCGCTCGCCGCGTCGTGGGACATGGAGCACGCGCTCGTTCGCACCAAAACGAACCCGAGTCTCCGGTTCAGCAGCCTCCCGACGACCCTCCCGCCGTTGCAAGCGTGGACCGTCCTGAGTGTCGTCGACGATGCGCTCGTTCGGGTGTCGCTGGCGCCGTCGCTCGCCGACGTATGCCTTGACGGACACGCCGCGCTTTTGGCCAAAAAGCTCAAGCTCTCGACGCTCGATGAGCATGCGGTCGCCGCCGTCAAAGGCGCGCATCTGAGCCAGCGCCTCCAAGCCACGCTCGTTCACGTCAAGTGCCTCGAAATGCTGCGGCGCGCCAAGCCGGCCGACGACGTCCCGCGGCTCCGCGCGTACGAGCACGATGCGAGCGTGTACCTTCCGCTGCTGGACGTCTCGCGTTACCTGGGCCTCGACCAATTCGACGTGCAACTGCAGATGGTGCGGCTTGCGCGCAAGCAGGGCAACCTCCAGTTTGCGTCGTCGCTCTTGGCGCAACTCGCCGACGTGCCGGCCAAAGCTGCCATCGTCAACTACGAGCAGGCGTGCCTCGACTTTGCGTGCGGTGCGCCGGCCGACGCGGTCGCGCGCCTCTTGCCCGTCACGCCCGACGCCCACAACGTGCACGTCAAGGCCTACGGCAAGATTGCGTCCTGGCTGCAAGACGAGCATGCATGGGTTGGTGCCGAGGCCAAGCGCAATGCCGTCGTATATGGCGACCCCACGGCGCTCATTGAAGCGAGCTTGGCGGCGGCCACGCAGATCGCACCGACGTCGTACCAGAGCTGGCTCGCGTGGAGCGACTACTGGTTCCATGCAAGCACGACCGCCAGTATGGCGCTGGCGCCGGACGACGCGACTGCGCTGAACTTGCTCTTGGCCGATGACGCGCTGGCCCCGCATGCCGACGCGTTGCGTGCCAGTCTCGGGCACATGATCCAAGACGACGAAGACGATCGTATTTCATTTGCGACATGCTGCGAGTCGGTGCCCGACTCGAGAGCGCTCGACCAGCTCCAGACGCTGTACCAACGGGTGCGGGCGCAGGCGCTCACATCGCACCATGCAGCGATTCAAGGGTACTTTACCTATCTGCAAACAGCGTCGCCGGCGTCGATCCAGTCGCACGGGCTCATTGTCACACTGCGACTGCTCGGGTTTCTCGTGCGCTGGGGCACCGAACACTCGCTGCAAGCGGTTTTGGACGACGGCGTTGCGTTATCGCCGATCACGCCTTGGGAACGCATCGTCCCGCAGCTGCTCTCGCGGCTCAAGCACCCGAATGCGAGCGTCGCCGCGCGTCTCACGTGCATTCTGTCTCGACTCGCGGCGCAGCGCCCGCAGCTCATGGTCTACCCGGCGGTCGTCGAATCGATGGCTACAGCGTCGCTTCTCGATGCAAACCTCGTCGCCGGTGTCCACCAAGTGGTCAAGGAACTCCGCCGCGTCGCCTTGCTCTACGAAGACGCATGGGTGAGCCTTCTGACAAAGCTGACGACGGACGTGAGCCGGCGCGGCCATACGCTCGAGAAGGAAGCGGCTCGGATGGAGAAGAATAAGTCGCTTTCGTTCGAGGACAAGCGGCGCCTCGGGCAGCAGACGTATGTCGCGATCCTCAAGCCCGTGCTCTCGGCGCTCGAGTCGCTGAGCGCCGAGACATGGCAGCGCCCGCCGACGACGCCCCACGAACGGTGGTTTGTACTGCATTTTGGCCCAGCCCTCGAGTCGGCATTGGAGCGGCTCCGCGCTTCGTGCGACGCACCGGCGCTGCTCGCACGGGTGTGGGCGCCCTTCCACGACCTTCTCAAGCGTCTGCAGCCGCACCAGCGCCGCCTCTCGCTGCCGTTGGCCGAGATCTCGCCGCTGCTCGCGACCCTTCGATCGGGCGTGCCGCTGCCAGGAGCGACAAATACGACGGTGGACATTGCCCATATCGACGTGACAGCTCATGTGCTGGCGACCAAGACACGGCCCAAGACTTTGGTGCTGCACGGCACGGACGGCCACTCGTACCAGTATTTGCTCAAGTCGCGCGAGGACCTGCACTTGGACGAGCGCATCATGCAGCTACTCGCGACGATCAACGTGAGCTTGGGCGCCAACAAGGACGCGCGGTACATGGACCTTGGCGCCCGGCACTACAGCGTCATCCCGCTAGCCAACGACGCGGGCTTGATCCAGATGGTGCCCAACGTCACGCCGCTCTTCCAGCTGCACACGCCACCGTCGTCATCATCGTCGTCATCGCCCACGGCGCCGTTTTACGCCGCGTTGAAAGCCCTCGGCGTCAAAGATGCGAGTCCCAGCGGCCGGCCAACTTGGTCCCACGCGGTGCTCAAGCAAGCGTACGAGGCGTTGGTCGCCGAGACCAAGCGCCGGCCCAACGTGCTCCGGCAAGACATGCTCGCGAGCTCATCGTCGATCGACGAGTTTCAGCGCAAGACGACGCGGTTTGCGCGGTCGGTTGCTGTCATGTCGGTCGTCGGGTACCTCATTGGACTCGGCGATCGCCACCTCGACAACATGTTGCTCTGCAACGCGTCCGGGGACGTGGTGCACATCGACTACAATGTGTGCTTTGAGAAGGGCACGAAGCTCAAGGTGCCCGAAGTCGTGCCCTTCCGCCTCACGACGATGCTGCTCGGTGCGCTCGGCGCTACGGGCATCGAAGGCACCTTTCGTGTGGCCATGGAGCGCACCTTGGCCGTGACGCGCGACGACGTGGCGACCAAGGAGACGATTCTGACGCTCCTTGAGGCGTTTGTGTACGACCCGCTCCTCGACTGGAAGGACGGTCCGGCGAAACTCTGGCGCATGGAGATGAACGTGCAGCTGTCGCTCTTTGCGTCACGCGCCCACGAGCGCGGCGCCGAGACGACGACCGTCTGGGAGCGTATCCAACGCGCGTGGTCGGCACCGACGTTGACGCGGCTGCTGGCGCGCGCGCGGCCGCTCGTGGCCGCCGCCGACAGTGTCGCCTCGCTCGCGCGCGAAATCACCGAGACGACGGCGCAAGTGGACGCTGCCGACGTGGAACTCGCCGGCTTGCAGGACGCGCTTGCGGCGACGACCCTCGACGACGAAAGCGACGACCCGATGCGGGCCTTTGAACGGGCAAACGAGCGTCTCAGAGCTTTTATGGGACGCTGCCACGACGCCTCCGAGTCGCACAAGACGAGCGTCGCGCTGCCGCCACGAACGCTTGGCTACGGCACGCACGACGACCTCCCGACGCTCGCCAGTGTGTGCAAGGCGCACCGGCTTGCACCGCTCGTGTCGGCGGTCGATCGCGCGGCGGTGGCCTTGAACCAGCAGCTTACCGCTCTTGAACCAGTGCTGCAGCCGGCGCTACACTGGTTTGAGAGCGTACGAGACACGGTTTGCGGCCCGTCGCGCGGCCATACGATCATGGACGAGTGGCACGCGTACGGCATGAACCTTATCGCAGCCGTGAGCAAGGCCGACCCGCTCGCGCACCTCGCACTGCACAGGGCCATGTCGCTGCCCTCGCTCCTCGAGGACATGGCGCTGGCGCAGCCGCTGCAGTACATGTTCCGTCTCGTCAAGCTACCCGATGGACGCCTTCTGGACGACGACGAGCCGGCGCTCGCTGCACGGACCAGCCAGATTCTGCCGCGCCTCAAGTCGCTCAAGCTCTCGAACGCGGAAGCCCACAAGACGATCAAAGCGGCGATTGCTCAGTGGGGCTTGGACCAGCTCTCGGCGCCGCGGTCGTGGCGCCACCTCCGTACGTTCATCTACGAGGCGGCGTTCCTGTTCGATCTCGCGGAAAAAGGGGCGGTGAAGCGCGACGCGATTGCGTGCTGGTGGCTCCTCCCGCCAGAGGGCTGGATGCGGTTTTACACGGGCAAGTGGCGCCTCGTGTTTCGACCGGCCGACTTGATGCATCGACGCCTCAAGGACGTGCTCTTGCCACTGTACCATCCACTGCACCCGCTCCGACGCTCGTCAATGTCGGCGCTCTGCGCGCCACTGCGTGCCGAGCTCGACCGCCTCGACGCTGAACTGGCGACGGTGCCCCGCGCCGAGTGGTCGGGATGGCTCGATGCTCTTGGCTGGCACCCGAACAGTCGCGACGACGGAGCGTTCTGGGAGGCGCCGCTGTATCACTACCACGGCGCTGTCCTGTCGGTGTGGTGGCTGCCCGGGATGCACCAGCTACGCGCCTTGTGCTGCCAATTCGCGACGCTCGAGACGACGTGGTCGGACCCGTCGGCGGCGTACGGGATCGAGCACAAGTGGGTGACGTGTCTTCTCACGATGAGTCGTCTCGTGAGTGCCAATGCCCATGAAGACGCGCTGCAGTCGGTCCTCGACGCGGCCGCGGCGTCCGTCTTGGACCTGGCGTACGGGGCCATGCGCTCGGTTCTCGAAGACACGATCGCGAGCGAGTGGAAGCTGCGCGTCGACCATGGACTGGACCGCACGTGGGTCGAGGCCCTTGTACGACCGATGGCCCGCGGTTCGTTGACGGTCGACGCACTGCTGGACGCGGTCGAGCTGCGCCCGATGCTCGACATCCTCCACGACCGATGGCACTATCTCTGGGACCGCGAAGTGTCGGCGTACCGCACCGCGTTGGTCCTGCACACGCGCCAGCTTGAGGCGCAACGGGCGACGCTGAGCTCGTGGGTGCAACCCGACCACGAGCAGTCGCGCGCGTCCCTCTTGCAAACGCTGACCGAGACGGAAGCGATGGTCACCGAGCTCCTCGTGCGACGCGACGCACTCGAGGCAGCGCTCAACGACGCGCAACCGGTCTTGGACGATGCGGTCAGCCGCCGTCCGACGCTTCAAGCGCCACTGCAGTCGACGCGCACGGAGCTGCGATCGCTCGTGGCGCAGGCCGACGACATTTACCTCGTGATCGAGTGGGCCAAGTACTTGGACAGCGCGTTTCGCGAGAGCGACAGTGACCGCGTGCGTGAGCTCGACGACGAAGGCCTCGCGGTGGTCACCGAGTACATGGCGCTGGAGGCGGCGTCCGCGGCGCAACGAGCAGCGACCCGCGACCACGAGGAACGCAGCGCCGCGCTCGACCGAATGCGCAAGGACGCGTCCGACCGTCTGCGCCGTCTCCACTTGGCCCATGCCAAGGCCCACACCGAGATGGACAAGCTTTTGCATCAAACACTGCCGTCGCTGGCGCCGCTGCTCGAGCAGCTCCAGCAGTCGTGGTTGCCAGAGGCGTTCAACGCGCTCTCGACCAACCCGAGTCATGTGCTCTGGGAAAACGAGCGGCTCGTGCGACTTCTCAGTAAGAGCGTCAAGCACGGCGTCCTCCCTGAGCTGCAGACGAAGCTCAAGGCGTTTGAAGGCGCGTGTCGCCAGCTGCATGGCATCCTCTCGGCGCTCGAGGCACCGATGAATGCACTCACGTCGCTGCCTCTGGACGCCGCCTTTGGCCGGAAGAAGACGCTGGCCAACATCGTGAGCGGCGGCGCAGCGGTCGAACCGTCGATCGATGCGCGGACGCAGCTCGTGACGGCGCTGTGTCACGTCGTGCACACGTGTCGGGACGACGACACGGCGGGTACCATCGTCGCACGGACCATCAGCGTCATGGGCGGCTTCTTTGACATTGCCCACCACGCGCTCGACCTCTCGAAACAAGACGAGCACGAGTGGTCGGACGACGGCAGTGACAGTGACAGTGACAATGACGCTAGTGACGAAGACGACAGTGGCAGCGACAATGACAGCTGTGCCAAGGCGTCCGACGACAATGACGACGATGAGAACGCCAGCAACGACATTGTTCGCGTTCAGGAACGCAATCGGTACGGACTCCATGTCCTCCAGCGCGTCAAGGAGAAGCTCGATGGCTACACGGTCCCGAACGCGCCGCCGCTGGCGTGCCCCGCGCACGTCGAGTACCTCCTCTCGCAAGCCACGAGCGTCGACAACCTCTGCGTCATGTACGAAGGCTGGACACCATGGATCTAACTAGTGGCGCCACGACGATCATTGTTATCAACGCGCCGTACGAACGACGTCTCAGTGGTGGCCGTGCGACTGCACGGGCACAGCGACGGGCAGCGCTTCCTGGTGGTACCCGAGCACGTGCGCGGTCTGGAGCTGGTAGTTGTTGACTTGCGCGCGCTACGCCATCGTCGATAAGAGACCATAGAGACAATGTGTGCATTGGCGTACATCGAGGACGTGTTTGGTCGGGCCAAAGTTGCACGTCTTGTGCAACAGCGTCATGTAGCGCTGGACGTCGGCGACAACATCGGCGGCCGTCGCGGCGCCGGGCGTGAGCTCGACGAGCGGGATGAGCAGCACGGGGTGGAAGAAGCGGATGCCAAGGAGGTTGCTCGGGCGCGCCATGCCCGAGGCAATGTCGTTTACGCTCAGATTCATGGTCGACGTGCCATAGATCGTCGTCGCCGGGCAGAGCCGCTCGAGCGTCCGGAAGAGGTCGCGCTTGAGCCCCAGCGTGTCGGGAATCGACTCGATCACGAGCGACGGCCGCGCGGCTGCCACCTCTTCGAGCGTCGTCGCGGTCTGGATGTTGCTCACGGCGCGGCCCACCATGTCCTGCGGGATGTAGCCGAGGCGCCAGAGCGGCTGCAGCATCGCGTAGCTCGCCGACTTGAGAATGTCGCGCGAGATGCTGTCGGGGTTCCGGTCAAAGAGCACGACGCGGTGGCCCGACATGGAGAGCTCAAAGGCGATGCAGCTAGAGACAGAGCGTGAGACGACGCATGGCGTAAGGAGGCCTACCGCCCGAGCGTGCCGGCGCCAATGACGGCGACGACGCTGTTGCCAGTGAGCGGAGCACGGGCCATGAAGACGATTGTAGTCGAGTTGCGGCTGGCTTGCCCTTCTCGCACATGTCGCAGCGGCCGAAATTCCGAAATTCACTAGGTCCTAGGTAGGACAAATCCGAATTCAGTGCGTTTCGGATGGCGCGCCGGATTGTATCCGGACATTCGTATCCGGACTAGATGGACGGCGAGCGGCGCGCCGAGCATGGCAAATCGACCTTCGACATTTTTCATGGAGACTCATATTTCGTTCGATATGTATAGAGTACGATGCAGGGAGTCCAAAAACCAAAGAATGGTGCTCGTAGCGTTCCTACAGCGTGCGCTATCTGCCGAGCAAGTTGGTGAGAACTGCTACTGAATGTAGTATCAATGTATCAATGTATCAGCAGATCAAAGTAGATCCCGATGCGCTGCTGCATCGTGGGCACTGTTGGTGTTCTTGAAGGTGTTGCACACCAGCTCAAATGATGTCAAGTGACAGAAAATAATGTCTCCGTCGGAGGTCACTAGACCTCTAGCTCATAGATCGACTATTCATACATACACGTAGCGCGAGGGCGGGTTCAGCCAGACACGCTGACTGCTGGAGTTTCGTATTGCCGTGCGTGGATTGGCTCCAAACGGCCAATCCGTGCACCGACACGTGGCGTCGCCTCGAGCGTTGGTTTGAGCTGCCAGGTCGTCACGCCCATTTTTTGTTGTCGACATGATGATGACGAGCATCGATCAATGGTATATATAAGTAAATGTGCATTTGGTTGTAGATATTTCCATCTGAAGAACAAGCACAACATCGTAAATGAGCAACTAGTTACCATGTTTCGTCGATTGGGTCTACGAGTTTGGCCGAAAGGACTTGGTTTCCGCAGCACTCCGAGAACAAACGCATTCGACGTTGGCTTTTTCAACGTTAAACAGACAGAAATGACCAACAAAAAGGAGGATAAAGATTACCTTTTTTGCTCGAGGGTTCCTACGTCGCAACGAGCAGCGTGGACTCGACCGAGTCGCATGATACGTGGACAAGACTATTGTATTGGACTAATAGACTAGTAGGTAGAGTACTCGTTTGGCTCCTGCGATCGGACGAGTTGAAATTGACAATGGAAAGGTTGGGCGTAGCGCTGCTTACAAAGCGCACTCGAACCACTTGACGGGCTTGCGGTCCGCGCCCCACCAGCCGTCGCCGTTCAGAAACGACGAGTCGTAGTGGTTGATACTCGGCTCATAGTGCAGCGCGGTCGCCGCGTCGGTGCCAAACTTGGTCTTGTCGAATCCTTGCGAGCAGCTGGAAAAGTCAACAAACCCGTCGTACGTCGGGTCGTCGTGGTGCGAGATCTTGCCGACAAGGAGCACTTCGAGGCTCTTGCCCGACGTGATACCAAACGCGTTTGTACCGCAGAGAAGCCGGTCTGCGTACTTCGCTCGCACCGCCTGTGCCGCCGCAAACTGGGCCTGCATCTCGGCCGAGACCGTCGATTGGTGCCGGATCGAGAGGTATCCTTCGGTGGTCGGGCAGCGGCCGGCCTTGGTGAGAATCCACTTGAGCGAGCCGCCCGCACACTGGTTTTCGATTTCATTGGACGTTTTGCTGCCTTGCATGGGCGCGGCGAGCGAGACCCACGTCACGTCCTTTCCGAAGTTGCACTTGTTGTTGTGGACGGCCGCGCCGGCAATGAGATTGCCCATCGAGTACGTGACGAGGAGGAGACTGTTGATCTCCTTCGAGCCGCTGTTGGAGACCACTTTGGCCGCGTCGCAGAACTCTTCTTGCAGCGTCTCGTTGGTCCAGCTCCGCGTGTTGGTATCGAAATGCGCAAACTTGATGCTCGAGCAGCACGGCGCGTGCTCCTCGATCGAGCCCCAGTTGCCCGCATACGCATCGGCCAGCGGCGCGCTCGCCCGCTCACCGACACCGTGTACAAAGAGGCACGGCTTGGGCGTCGACTTGCAAGCGCACGACGACTTGGAAACGGTGGCGACGCGCGGCGCGCCGAAGAGCGCCGACGACACAGCCGCCGACGTCTGCAGCAAGGTGGCAGCCGGCGCTGGCTGCGACGGCCCGACGACCACCGGGCACGAAAGGCCCGCGGGAATGTCCATCGACGGCACGCTCGAGGTATTATCAAGGTACTCGACGGCGATGTCGAGGTCGGGCGACGACGCGCGCGTGAGCTTGTTGTTCTTCGAGTTACAAAACACAAACGCCTCGCCGGCAAACGTCAAGTGCAGGAGCTTGCCGTCCGGACAGTCGGACGCCGAAATGACGTCGCCGGTCGTTGCGTCGACGACGCTGGCGGTCGAGAGACTCGACTCGAGGAGCTCGATCGGCGGCAGCTGCGACGCGTCGAGGCACCCGGCGTCCACGACCACGTCGTTGTGCAGCAGCGAGTAGTAGGCGCGGTTGTCGCGGACCAGGTAGGTTTGCGTCACGTCCGGGCCCACTTGGGACAAGATAGCGTCAAACGCAAAGGACGACGACGCACGGGGCACGACATAAATCTGCGCAGACGTCTTGCCGTTGAACGCCATGCTCGCGCGCTTGGCCGTGAGCGTGAGCCGGATCGCCGGCGACTGCTGCAAGTTGGTCACAATGTCGCCGGCATTCGTCGACACCTTGGTGCGGAAGACGTAAATGGATGCACCGACCGCCGCCATGACGACACCGCAGAAGAGGAGCGCGCCGACCACGAGCTTGAAGCGTCGCGGCGACCGCGGCTTGGGCGCTTCGTCACGCGGGGTCTCGACAGCGTAGGCACCCATCGCGACTGGCGACGACATAATGGAATGGGCAAGAAGATGCCAAAGGCAGAATGAGGCAGTCGACTGATTCGCTCGGATGATGGAGGCCATTGAAGCCCAACAGATGGTGGACGCAATACACATGTTGTGTTGAGTCTGCCCGATGTAACGGTTGATGGGCGTGGCCTTTCTCGAGTCTCTTTCTCGTCGGTCGGATGAGTCTCAGTGTACGGCCACGGCCATGCAGTAGCGTGCGGGCTTGTATGGCGACACGCTGCGAATTTGATTGACTTCACATGGATGCTTGCGATGCTTGTGCAATGTCATCTTTCAAAATTAGGTTCAAAAGACGGCAGCCCTAGTGTAGCGATCAGTATAGCGATCGTCCAGCATGCAGATCAGGAGCAATGGTTGTGTGATTGCACCTGCGTTTGACACGCGCTTTGAGCCAAAGGGAGCGGTCGATGACCATCGCGTCCGTGGCCGTCACGCTGGGATGCTAAAGACGCCGCTCGTCGAACCATCGATCGAGTGTGCAACGCGCTGCATCCAGGAACCGGTCCCACGTCCTCAGGTCCCAGCTGTTGATGACTCTAATTTCTACCGCGCGTCGTGTGTGGTACGATCGAGATATGACCCTCACCGTCCGAGTGCGCCTTGGTCGTTTTCGTAGCGCTTGCCCCAGTCTTATGTGTTAAAACCGGATATGCTACTCGTATCAAGTTGACATTGATGTTTGGTATCGACCACGCTACGCTTCAGGGTACAGGGTGCAGGTACCTGCCGCCGCTGACTTGCGTCAGGATAGACCTCGGAGAGTTACAACACTGGATAGCTGAAGAAAGAACGGATACATTCCAGACACTGGGTGTGTTGCCATCTCCAAACTGCGAGGTCCTGTCGACCAATACTGATCGTCCAAAGCGCGTGAGTCACGGACCCCGAACGTCAAGTCTACGTCGAGGTCAAGCCCAAGCAAACTCGGAGCGGCCGAGGGCTCTCGTCGCGCATGCACGCGGAGCTGGACAACTAGCCAGCGTGCATACCTTTTGACGTGCATACGCTACAGCGTATCCTCTTCTTCTTGTCTTCTGCGGGCCAAAGCACGTTCGCCAATGAACTGCCTTGGTTATGATGGAACGCACTTTACAGCGGTTGGGTAAGAACAGCGGTTCAATAGCCGAATTGGGAATCGAATATATATGTATATTTACGCTCAAGCCTACTCTACTACGAAACGCAAGGTCCTGGTCCACTCTCCCTACGTCGTGCTGGTCGAGGGGTCAACGACCACGATGCTGTCGTCGCTAAATAGGGCGTCGCGAATGGACTGGATCACGGTCAAGTTTCTTCGACTCGCCTCCTTCCAGAGTGCGTAGTTGCGCTTGGTCGCATTTTGGATCGGCCGGAACGCATCGGGGAAGACGACTTTGGACACCGTATCGAAGAACGGGAGCACGATAAACTCAAAGAAACCGATTTGGTTCTACGCAAATTGGGGATCGTACCAGAGTTCACACCAGAATGTGAATACTACCTTGGCGCTATTCTCAGCCCATCGGTCCATGAAGGGCGAAATGTCGGTCACGGCGTCGCGCTCGGCGTCGCCTTGCACAAAGAATTCTTCAATGATCATGGACGACCAGAGCCCGTGCAGTCGGACGCCTTTGGCCGAGTGGCCAATGTCGGCGCACTTGACGACCACCTGCACATGAAATTGTCTTCTTGCCCAAATTCAACTCAAAGTTACCTTCATGATGACGAGCGGGTCGTTGGCAATGTCGTGCTTCTCGTCCGAGAGGATCATGGCCTTGAGCGACCCGACGAGCTGGAGGTGCATGCTCAGGTCCGTCGAGAGCACCATTTCGATAATAGCCTTGCGCACGTCGCGGTAGTTCTTGTCCTTCATGTGCATGAAAATATCGCAGTTGGGGTTCTCTTGGCAAAGGAAGAACGACTCGGCGAGATGCATGTTTTCGAGCACGCTCTTGTCGCTGTACTGCAGCGCGAGGCGGTCCCGCGCCTTGATGATAAAGTTGTTGCTGCGGCCGGGATGTCGAAAGTCGTGGATCGCCGCGGCCACGAGCGCGGCAAAGAACTCGTGCTCCGTGAGCAAGTTGCGAATGTACCCGTCGCTGAGCGACGAAATGAGGTAGTTGACCGAGCTGACCACGTCCGCGGCGTGAAACGCATTGTGCTATGCGACATTTCAGTATCAATATCGTCATCAACAAACATGCAAAAATGAAAAATACAATAGGTAAAAATGCGAAAAAATAAATACAAAATACAACAGCCAAAATGCAACATTCAATAACGTACGTAAGGGTTGCGCAAGTAGCCTTCGTCGATCGACAAGAGAAAGTTCTGGAGTGCCACGGGGTCGACCTTGACTTGGTCGTACAGGTGATGGAGCTCAAAGACCGCGAGACCGACGTAGAGCACGGGGTGGCCATGGCAGTCGAGGCCCAGTACGTCGAGGTTCCATCCGTCTTTGGCGATCCGCGCTTGGATTTTCTGAAGCGACATGGTCTCAATCTGCGGCATGTGACTCAAAAACACAGCACCGTGCTCGGACGTGAGCACGTGGCCGCTCGACTTGCTCCGGCCGTCGGGTCCGAGCGGCTGTTTGCGCCCGAGGGGGTTGTACTCCTTCTTTCCGAGCACTGAGATGGCCCAGTTCTTCGTGTCGACGTCGACGCCGTTGGACGAGCCCATTTGCGCGTTAATGTCGGGCGTAAAGAGGTTCGCGTCGAGCTTGGAGAGCGCCGAGATGATGCTCGAGAGTTTCAAACCGTGGTTGTCGTTGAGTTTCATTTCATCTTGGAGAATTTTCAGATCCGAAATGATCTTGTGCACAGGCGACTCGAGGTCAATGGTCGAGCCTACGCGTTTCATATGGAGATTCGACAGCAGCATTGCAAACGTCGTACCTTCGTGCTGCTTGGCGAGCTTGAGTTCATTTTTGAGATTTTTGTTTTCTTCGGCAATCGCCTCGCGCTGTTGGTAGGCAAACTCGGCTTCCTCTTCGACCTCGTGCATGTGGAGAAACTCTTGACGGAGCATGCGCTCCATGTCGCGGTTTTGGAGAAAGAGCACGGTCGAGAAGAGCAGTGGGAAGCAGCACACGAGGATCTCGTTTGTGATAAAGTACTGGTTGGACGTGCGCGGGTACACGAGAAGCGTCAAGACCCCATACGAGACACTCGAGATGACGCTGACCTAACGCAGAATCCAGGATAGCACGCAACTCTCCGCTACATGGGATAACACACACACCAAAGCACCATTCGAGTTGCATTTGCACACCTCTCAAATGCAATCTCAAACATACAAAAGTGCAATCTCAAAAATACAAACGTGCACACTCAAAAATGCACAACAAAGGCGTACCGTGGCGGCGTGGGGCGTGTCGATGCGGAGCAATGGCACAAACACGGACACGAGGATCATGCGCAGCAAGTTGATGTTCATCGTGGCGGCCGGGAGGAGAATGTCGCCCATAAACTGAAACAGAATGTCTTTGCCCGTGCCCTGCATGGTCTCGTACGGCCAGACGCCCGTTTGCGACGAAAGCGTGTACGTGGCCGTGAGGTTGAACACATGCGCAGCTTGGAGCAACGTCGACATGTCGTCTTGAATGTAGACGCTCCACTCGCGAAGGAGCGAGTGCATGCCGCCACCAATGATCGAGCACGTCCAGCAGAGCACAATGGTCGAGTAAATCTTGTGGTAGTAGGGCTGGAAGCGCTCGAGGCGCCCGAGATAGAGCAGGAACGGCACGGGCACCATGGACGGCACGACGTAGAGAAAGTACTCTTGGGACTGTTCTCGGATCGCTGGGTCCGTCGACGTGAGGTTGGTCAAGTTGGGCGAGACAAAGATAAAGTAGAGCAAGAGAAACGCGAGCACGATCTTGAACGACCGCGGCGACCACTCTTTCACCGCTTTTTCGAGGTAGAGTTTCTCGAGCTTGGGGTGGTTGACGAACCGCGCCGTGAGCGGGTGAAAGTGCACTGGCTCCGTTGGCTTGGGCATGCGCGTGCCCGTGTCCGAGAGCGAGTCCACTGACGGCACAATGCGCGTCGGCTTGTGGTCGAGAAGCATGCGCGGTCCTTGGCGCGGCACTGTACTTGCGACCAACCGGCGCGCCTAAAAATACGGCAAAACCCACAGACAAGTACGTTTTCGAAACGCTCAAGATGGCGACCCAAGCCGGTGATTTGACGCGCAATACCCAGTTTGTACTGTGGGAATCTCGTTTTGGCTTGACCACCCAACGTAATCAACGATAGATAGGGCCAAGAATCAGATTAATCCGATTATTGACCTTTGACGGTAGCTACAAGTGACTAGTGCAAACGATGAAAAGGGATGGCTTGTGGTCGAAGAGAGTCGTTTGAGATAGTAAGGTTTTGGCAGGTGGAGCATGTATTTGGATGGAAAGAAGATGTGGTTGAAAAGGAGATTTGGGCATTGGAAAAGTAGGATTTATGAAGGAACGAGTTAGTTGGAGACGAGGTTAGTACTCTAGTGTGTGTATCTGGAAGGGTCGTGTAAAATACAATTTTTGATGCATTGCTACGAGCGTCAAGTAGACGAGGTGAGAAGCATACCATGGTGGGAAATGGCGAGGCGTGGGAAGAGCCCCGAGGCGGTCATGCGTGCTGCTGGCATGTTGCATTTAACGTTAGAGGCTGATTTAGAGGTGGCGTAGGTGGTCTCATCTCGGTAGCAGTGATGGGGGCGATTATAGCTGTGGGCTTCCGAAGGTGGGTGTCGGTGAGTATTGCGTAAGGACGACTATGTGCAGCGAGCAAGGTGGTGTAAAAAGACTATACATGATGCGGTGATTGGTGAGGAAGAAGGCGGGGGATGAGTATCCTTTCTTGTCGTGATGACGTGGCGCGCGCTGGTCGTTTCGTCGTCGTACCAACATATCATCGTACTTGCCGTGGGGTGACTGCGTCGGGTTCTCAAGTCGCTCTTGAGCCCTCACGTTGTTTTCAGCTCCTCTCGGCCGAGACACTTGGAACGTTTGAGTCGTTGCTGTAGACGTAGTACTAGTAGGTGAACCCAGCGAAGAGAATGCCCTTCGGAACCCGAATCCGGCCAATAGGGGCACAGTCTCCGCTAGGTCGAGCGACTTGCTGCAAGCATACTAAGACAACTTCCACCGTAGGATTTTATTATCCACGTCAAGCAGCCACCACCGACGGTAGCTTGGCGCCTGGACGCAAACTGAATAAGCCAAATGCGCCATGTCAAAAGAGAAACACTGTCTCCAATTCTGCCTACAAAGACACTGTTTCGTTTCCGTTGAACGTCTCTTCTAGCCGACAGACAACGGCCGATGTGAAAGGAACACTGGTCGGTCTCTGTGGTCCCGGACAGGATAGCCTACTAGCGATGTACTAGGGTTTATATGTTCGGTGCTCTCTGCGCGTTGGACCTACACAAAGAATCGTGGTCCGTCAAGCCTGCCATCGAGTTTTCCAGCCTGTCGGTTTTGAGAAACATAAAACGGAATCCAACCCGGTATACGTAGCTCAAGTCACGGCCGTTGACCAATGACCGACCACTTGGCGCAGACAGGGAGAGAGAGCGATGGACCGAAGCGGGTCCGAGGCCTACGAGCTCGTCGGCAGCGCCAAGTCGCGCCTGGACGAGATCGAGCGCGACCGCATGGACCTCAAGATGGAGGTCGCCCACCTGCGGGTACGCTGCCAGCGCCATGGCCCATGGCTCATGGCTGCGTGTTGCATGTAGAGCCGTCTCTTGGAGCGCGTCGGCGGCGACACGAGCGCGCTTGAGCTCGAGGAAGAGAGCTTCATGCTCAAGAAGGAGCTCATCACGAAGGAGCGCATGCTGGCCGAGCAGGCCGGGTATCTCTCGGGCCTCGAGCAGGAGCACCAGAAGGCGCTCATGAACCTCCAGAAGCTCGACGCGGCGTGGCGGGCCAGCGCCGTCAAGACGCAGCAACTCCAGGAGACGCTCGAGATGCACCAAAAGAAAGCGCACAGTCTTGATGCGATGCGCAAGGTGCTGCAAGCCCAAGACGAAGCGGCACGGGCCTTGCAGGAGAAGATCGACGAGCTCCAAGCAAGTCTCGCCGCCAAAGATCGCGCGGCCGCTTCCGCCGAAGTCGAGCTCCACGCTGCGACAGAGGACCTCGCCGCGGCTAGGATGGAGCTCCACGCCCAAGCGACGGCCAACGACGCCGTACACCGGTCGACGGCGCTCGACCTCGAGCACGCCAAGGAGAAGATCGCGCATGGGCAGGGCCAAGTCTCTGCGCTCCGCGAGCATGCCGAGCACCTCGAACAAGCCAACACTGCTCTCGAGACCTCGAATGGGCTCTTGAAGGCCAAGGTGCTGCAGCTCACGGAGGAGAACGCGGCTTCATCGATCCACGCGTCAACGTCCAAGTCCGACTACCAGCGTAAGGTACACGAATGCACGGCGCTTCAAGACGACGTTGAGAAGCTCACGGCCGACGTCTACACCCGCGACGTGGAGCTGCAGCTGTCGAGGCAAACAGTCGCAGCACTGGAACAGGAGCTCGACGAGACGCGACGCGAGCGCAGCCGCCTCGACGAGCGCGTCACTACCCTCGACACGCTGCTGGCAAGCACCAAGACGCAGTTGCACGCTGCAGAGAGCACGGTCCAGCGCCTCGAAGGCGCCTTCAACGCCCAAGTGCAGTCGGCGACGGAGCTCGAAGGACGCCTTGCCGAGACGACGACCAAGCTCCGGGTCGCCGAGCAAACGATCGCGCACCTCGACATGTCGGTGCGTGATGCCAAGAAGGCTGCCGTCGACACGCGCGCACTTGAAGTTCAGATCACCAAGCGCATTGAAAGCGAGCTGGAGACGACGTGGCGGACCCAAGTGCTTGCGGCCGAACACCGAGCGCGCGAACTCGACGCCGCCTACGAAAAGAACCGACACGAGCTTATGACGTGGCAAAGCGACGTGTGTACGCGCCTTGGCGTCGCATCGCCAGCCGACGTAGCGCTCATGCTCGAGCGCCGCGACCACGAACACGCCGAGCTGCTCCGCTCAGTCGAGACACTCCAAAATGAGCTCCGTCGGGCCAAGACACAACCAAGATTGACAGAAGCAAAGCCCGTCACACCATCATCGCCCAGCCTTTCGACCTGGACCCACGAGGTCGAGCGCACAGAGCGGTTCCGCTTGGGTCTGAGAAGAGACACCACAGCTCCAGTGGCCACATGCCCGACGCCAGAGACCAAGCCGCCGCCGAAGATCAAGCCGCCCAAGACCGAGCTGACGCCCAAAATCACGCCGACGCCCGAGACCAAACCAGAGACCTCTAGAACGACGACGTTAGTCAGTACGCACAAGCCATTGTCGCGCCCGGTGGACGCCAAGCCAACGACGCCACGGGCGCTGGACCTCTTCAAGCCGTCGCCACTGAGCTTTCGACCCGTCACCCTCCGCAAGCCGCTCGATCTGAAGGCTTCTGGTCCACGCTCGACACCCAGTCTCGTGAAGCCAGTGTTCCCTTCGACGACGCCCGTCGCAGCAACCACTCGGACAACGCCGACAACGACGCCGACGACAGTCTCGGAACCGAGGCGCCTCTTCCCGTCCCGTGGAACGCCCGAGGTACATGCGCGATCGACGGCGTCAGGGTCCACGCTACTCGGTCTCAAGCGCAAAGCTGGAGACCTCTCGCTGCCAACGCTGCCCAAGCCCAAGTTTTCCTTTGGCAAGTCGCGCTTCCCAAAGGCCCCATGATGCCCCGAGCGTCTCCCTCGTCGCAGACCGTGAATTATAACCCATAAACCTAATTTAGAGCAACCCTATCCACCCTCGTTGTACATTTGCAAGAGAGCTGCAAGTGCAAACTGTACCGGATACGCCGCCAGTCGCATCCGGATGGCCCCGACCAGCGCGTTCGCGTACGTCCTGCGGCGGACGCTGGGCGAGACTGCGCCCGGCGAGTTCATTCATACGTGGCATGCGGAGGCGTCGCGGGACCTGCAGCTCAACCAAGCCAAGGTGCTCCACAAGCAGGGCATGAACATCTGGCACATGGACCTCGAGGCCGCCGAAGACCGGTACCTCCTCGTTGGCACGGGCCTGGGCGCGCTGCATCTGTACGACGTGGCGGCGCTGGACGTGCCGGGCGTCGTCGCCGCCGACATCCAGCCGCTATGCACCATCAAGCCGCTACGTGGCAAGCTGCCGATGCAGCAGCAGCAGGTACGCCAGCTACCTGCAGACGACCACATCTTTCTTCGTACTAGGATCGACCAGGCCATGCGTCAGGCGTCACGAGCGTGAGCTGGTACCCGGTGGACAATGGCATGTTTGTCTCGACGTCGCTGGATGCGTGCGTCAAAGTATGGGACGCCAACGAGCTCGAGGTCGCTTCGTCGTTCTATCTCAAGGACCCCGTGCACATGGCCGCGTTCTCACCGTTGCCAGCGACGTCACACCTCCTCGCTGTGGGCACCGATCGGCCCGAAGTGCGCCTTGTCGACATTAGCATTGGCGCGGCCACGCACCGCCTCGTGGGCCACCGCGCGTCGATTCGGTCGCTCGCATGGTCGACAACGAACGCATTCCACTTGGCGACCGGCGCCACCGACGGCTCGGTTCGTATCTGGGACATTCGCCGGTCCGGTGCGACCGCGTGCCTCTTCTGCCTCAACCAAGACGGCGCAGCCGACGTGCCTCGACGTATCGAGGTGCGTCCTGCGGTATTGGCCGTCGCAAGGATATGTGGTCGTAGATGGCGTCCACGAAGCGCAAGATGAGCCACGACCCGCACATTGCGGCTGCTGCGTCGTCGGCGCTAGCCCACACGAGCGAAGTGCAGTCCCTTGCGTATACACCCGACGGTCGGTTCCTCGTGAGCTCTGGCGCCGACCGCGCAATGCGGCTCTGGCACGCCGCGTCCGGTGCGCACATGGTACACCTTGTCACTTTGCACTTTGGACACGTCGTATGACGAGCGTAGTTTCATCATTACACGGGCATCAAGTGCTCGGGCGCCCGGCACGTGACGGTGGCGATGGCCCAAGAAGCAAAAAGCGACTCGACCATGGCAAGAGCGTTTGGCGAGTCCAAGCTCATTTGCGATGTGTAGCTATACCATCCGGTCGGCAGCCACGGCGTCATTGCCTCGTACCTCTTGCACAACACCGAGTCGACCGAGCCACTCACCAAGTACACGGGGCACTACAGCCGCGTCACGAGCTGCCTGTACCGCGCGTCGACCCGGGTAAGCTCGCTTTAGCGTGTTTGTTGGGAAACATTGGCGTAGGAACTTTTGAGTGGCGGTGAAGATGGTTTGATTGGGATCTGGCGTCCACCCGAACGTACTCTGGTGCGAAATTTGTCCAGACGATCGAGGTGATGCTCATGCAATGGACGTGTAGTTTGCACCGTCCACCGAGGACGACGACGAGCAAGTGCCACCGCCGAATGAAGACGCGTGGAGTGATGACGAGGCTGCACCAAGTGATCGCTTTGTGCCTCCGATTCTAAGGCGTGAACAACCATAGTCGAGTACAGTACAGCTAGAGTCGAGTACATACAGCTAGAGTCGAGTCCATTGAAAGCCTCGCGACTTGGCGAGCTTGATACATTTCCGAGTATCAACCCAACAAGCCAGTGCCAGTGCATCGACGATGGACGATTTGGATTGGTTGAAACTCCTACCATAATGCATTCGATTGGGCGTTCACGGGTAGAAAATGGACCAATGAAAAACGGCGAAAAACAGGCGGCTTCATTTTGGGCCATTCCGCCTCGACGACGACGACGACGATGACGGCAGCGACCCTGGACCTGCTCCACGACGTGGTCGAGTACCGCCTCACGAAGCGCGACATCGCGTCGGTGCTCGAGCTCAACGACGGCAACGTCGCGCGCACGATCGACGAGCTCCTCTCGATGCTCAAGATCCAGGACATGGAGCGCAAGGCGTCGATCGACACGACCAATGATGCCGTTGTCGCTGCCGACTCGAAGCTGCAGTGGGACCTCTTCCTCGCGGAAATGGGCGCGCATGGCCTGGACGAGGCCACGTGCACGGGCCTCTTGCAAGCGCTTCAAGACACGTGCGGCGGTGACCACGTCGCCTCGTCGACCATTGTGCACGAGTACTCGCATGTTGCCTCCTGGACAGCATCTCATGCGCGCGATAGGCTTCTCGCAGCGATGGACGACGCGCCCAAGGAAGAAGACCATCCGATTGTCGCTCTCCAAGAGCAATTTCCGCACATCCGCAACGACCTCATCGCCAAAATCTTGGAGCAAAACGAGTACGACGTCGCCGCGACGGCCAAAGCGCTGACGGAAACGGGCCACTTGCTCAACGCCCACGGAAGCCTCGAGAATTACAGCTATGCGTCGATGGCCAAAGGCCCCACGCATACGGCGACGACGGCGCCACCCTCGGCCAAGAACTTTCCCACGTTGCAGCCGCGCCGCAGCTCGAAACGCCGAGGTACATGCGAGGCAGTGGTGTATCGATGCAACTGCTGTGTCTAGTCGTGCAGTGGGGCACGCATGCGGCCAATAATGCGTGGGCGACCAACGACCAGGCGCTGCCGACGGGCACGCCGGGATCGCTCTCGACCAAGCTCAAGCTCGAGTACCTCCAGAAACGTCTTCCGAACGTTGATGCCGACATTCTGTGCACGGTACACTGTCGCCTTTCTATCTTAGTACAGTGTTTCAATGGATGTATCGCAACAGGCGCTGCTGCTCAACAATGCCAACTTGGAGACGACGGAAGCGATTGTGTCGTCGATTTTCAACATACCGCCCGCATCGAGACCGAGCTCCAACCAGGACGAGCAACCACCCAAGTACCACCCGCCACGGCACCGACGTCGCGGTATTGCTCCCTGCATCGAGCGTCGCTGGCATTGACCGGTTCTAGACGAGGCGCCGGACGGCTTTGCGCAGTACCAAGCACGAACCGAAGCGCTCATTGAAGAGTTGCAGCAGACGCACTCGGCGGCGGTTCGATCGTTTGGTAGCGGCAAGCTCAACCACCACTTGGGTCGGGATAAAATGCTATGGTGCGTCGCTCCCTCGATCGCTTGCCTCACGGTCGCGTAGCGTCTCGGCGCTGCGGCGGGAGCTCCAGATCACACGCGAGCAAGCTGCATATGCCTTTTTCAACGAGAACAAGCATCTCGTCAAGGCCGGCAAGACCGTCGACATGCACGGGCTCTTTCTGCAGGTACTACTATTTTGGAGTGTTTAGGGGTAGGGTCGACAGACGTTTCATGTAGGAAGCACTGCATGTGCTCGAGTATTGCTTGGACTATGCCAAGAAAAGCCGCGTGCGCAAGTTTATGGTGGTCACGGGCGTCGGCAACCACGCGACCAAGCCCGGCAAGATGTTCAACAGCATCGACGCGTCGCTCGCGCGTCGTGGCGTCAAGTACACCAAGGGCCCGGGCCATTTTGTCATCCAGCCTTTTTTTCAAACCACTGCCTAGGATAGGCACAAAGTTTCGTGTTCGGCATATATACCTACATAAACCTTCGATTCGAATCATGGGACGTCCAGCAATTGTTGACAACTGTCTCATGCACAGCGAGCTGCAAAGAAAGCTAAAGAACCGGCGTCGTCTCCCACGGTGGTCCCACGGTGGTCCCACTGTGGTCCCGCAAGCCGCGAACAAAGGCCCAGCACAGGCCCAGCACAAGCGTACCGTCTCTCATCATGCCTTGGACAGAACCCGAGTGTCTCTAGCTGTTGGATACGTGGTCTGGCGTGCTCGTCAGTACACGTCCGTTGCAGCATCAAGCGACGAGACGTTGGTCATTTGCGAATATGTATCTCTCCTCCGCGTGCGATCAGCGAAATGTTGCGGTCCATCGGGCGGGCTGAACGCATACTAGTACTACGTCTCGACAGTGGAGCCTCAACTCTTGACGACAAGGGATCGATCTGTGTTTCGATAGGCAGAGGTGCGACGACGACGCGAGCCACCGCGGTGCATCATCATCGATTTCAAACGTTAGTATTTTGTGCCGCGTACGCATCCAACTCTGTCTCTTGCCCCTGCAACCGTGCGGGACAACTTGTCTGAAATAGCGAATAACGAACATTAGCAACGACCTTGGCAAAACGGACGCCAAAGGGACTTGGTACCACCCACAATCTGCACTATTCCACGCATCTACGACGCCAGCTTTGCGATGGAATCGCCGCCGACTGCCACGTCACCGCGATGGCTCAACGCCCTTGGCTTCAGCTACGTGCTCTTCACAGTCGGTCTGAGCATCGGCATCATGTACGTCATGTCCACGTACCTCGCCAACGACTTGTTCTGGCCCGACTTTGTCGTAAGTGGCATGCAAAACGCGATCATCGACTTCTTCAACAGCCGCCTCGCGCTCAACGCCACGTCGCTCGAGCTCCTCAACCCGGCGTTTGCTCCGCCCACACTCTATGACAGCTCGGCCATGGCACTCGACATCTACGAAGCGTACCCGCGTTTGGTGCTGTACGCCGAGCTCACGGCCATGGACAAGGCGATTGCGAGTCTTCGCCAGCTCCTTGCGACCGAGGTGACGCACATGATGACGCAGTACTGCTGGGTCGACTTGCAGCAACGCTGGGAGCTCGGCCATTCGCATAAGCGCCAAGCACGGTGCGTCGCCAAAGACAAGGCGAACGCCGCCGTGTACCTCGAAGCGGTCGGGCGCAACATCGATTATGCCTCCTGGGACCCAATCTACAAAGGCTTCTTCAACAACTTGATTGTGAGCGCGCTCACCCGATCACCCGACGGCAACCCCTGGCTGCAAGACATCCGCGCACACGCGTGGGTGCCCGTCGACGACGAAGTGGCGTTTTGGAAGGCCCATCAACTCGAATACTTTGAGCTGCAGTGGAGCACGATCCGCCAAACCGGTTTGACGGAAACGATTGGGATTGAGAATGCGCTGGGGATGACGACGCGCGTGACGATCAAGAGCATCACGCCCGTGGACCGGTACGCGCTGTGGACGACCCACTCGATGTACGCGTCGTTTGAGAATGACATGGGCAACTTTTACTTTGGTCCGAACCAGAGTTTGGTGCTCAACAGCCCGCTCTGGTTTGGCTACACGCTCCCAAATGCGATTGAAACGTACAACCTCCCGTACCCGCTCAACCACGCCAACACGGCGCTGCACCACCAGCTCGGTGAACTCGGCTCGGTCGACCTCAAGCTCATGCCGCCTCCTCCCGCACTCACGGCCGCTGCCGAAGCTTTCATCGCGCAGCTGACGCTTCAGACAACGACTAGTGCGTCACTGGCGGCGGCCGTCGCGAGCATTGGTGCGGTGGATCTGCGCCCGACGCCACCCCAGTGGCAGAACCCCACGTTTTTGTTTTACGGCGGGAGCCCCGTATGCGCCGACGGCGAACCCTACGACTTTATCCAACGCTCGTTTGGCTTTGACGACACATGCGCGGGCCAGCTGCCGTTCAGCGTGCAGTGGGCATCGGCCAATTCGATTTTTGCGTTGGCCCAGCTCTCAGCAAACGACCTCGCGTTGGCCACGGGATCGCTGTGCAGCAGTTTGGCGCTTCCGGCTACGGACGCCAGCCTCTGCACAACGTCCCTCGCTGCGTCCCTCCGCGCGTTTCGCC